TGGTGTTGTCAGCAAATTTGAACAGGGTGCTTTTCACCCCTCGTCCAAGTAACTAATAAAGAGATTGAACAGTGCGGGACCAAGGACAGAGCCCTGGGGGACTCCACCGCCCACATGCCTCTGGGTCAAATATGACCCATTCACCACCACCCTCAGGCAATTTGCAACCCATCTGACTGTGTAGGCATCAATGCCACAGTCGCCTAGCTTTTCAATGAGAATGGGGTGGGAGACAGTGTCCAAGCCCTTCCAAAAGTCCAGAAAGACTATATCCACTGCAACACCAACGTCCAATGATTTTGTGACCTGATCATAGAAGATAATCAGGGTGGTCTGACAGAACCTGCCCCTAATGAATCCATCCTGGTTGCCCCTGAGCATCGTCCCCCCTGCTGGTTCTTCCCAGATGTGCTCCTGGATAATCTTCTCAAAGAGTTTCCCCAGGATTGAAGTAAAACTAATGGACCTATAGTTGCCTGGGTCCTCCCTCCTCCCTTTTTTGAAAGCAAGCAAAGCATCTTTTGGTCTTAGAGGATTAAGGCCTTGAGTGCTAGGGCCGTAGACAGCTTTGGTAGCACTGAAGAAGCCACAAGCGTCATGGATGTCAGCAAAATGTTGGATTTCTTTTGATTTCTGAATCCACCACTCATTCTTTAGTTCTCATGTTCTCCTCTGCACCTCTGATTTTGCTTGTTGGTGTGCATTTTTCATGATGGCAGACTTGATGTCTTTCTGCCAGGCACAGAAAGCTTTCCGTTGCCTGCCCATGAATTTCACTGTCATTTTTGTGAAACCAGTCTTGATGTTTCCTGGTCTTGTATCCTATGGTATTTTCACAGGATGAGAGAACAGCTGTCTTAAGTCCTGTCCAGTGCTCCTCAACTCTTCCTGGGTACTCTGTTAGTAGCATCTCATTCAGGAGTTGCTAGAATTCTCTCTGCTTGAATGGGTCCTTCAAGCACCCAATGTTTAACTTGCACCTGACCTGCTTCCTTTGCATTTTTCGTTTAGGAACAGTTCTGATGGACATGCAGAAATGGATGAAGCAGTGGTCAGTCCAACAGTCATCAGCACTAGTCATGAGTCTCGTAATCAAACATCCTGGTGATTGCAAGTCCAAACAATCGCATAGTCAATCAAATGCCAATGTCTCAATCTAGGGTGTCTCCAGGACATCTGGAACTTGTTCCTTTGATGGAACAGGGTATCTGTGATGACAAGCCTATGTTCTGTCCACTTTGGCAGGAGAAGGACCCCGTTAACATTTCAATTTCCAATGCCTTCTCTTTTCCAATAATACCATTCCAAAGTTTTGAGGATCTTTCCCACTCTGGAATTAAAATCTCCAAGAAGGATGATTGTGAAAGAGACTTACTGGATGAAGCTTGGAGGCAGCAGGACACCGCACAAGACGACAAGCATGGTGCAAGTGAAACCACAGCAGGCGGAGCCGCCATGGGCGAAGATCAAAGGGAAAAAAAAAAAAAACAGACAAGCCAGGAGGAGCTGGGAACGGCTCCCACATCAGCCTGGGCACATTTTATATGAGCATGCTGGAGCCCATTGGCCGGCCAGACGCCTGGGGCCAGGATAAAAGACCTGGGGGAAGACCAGCAGAGGGGACCGGAAGTAGAGTCCCCAGTTGGCCAGGACAGGCTGGAGCACACGAGCAGTCCAAGCAAGGGGACCTGGTGGGTACCCCAGGAGGAGGTTCCCCCAAGAACACAGGGCCAGAGGATTTACCTACGAGGTCAGTGTGGGCAGAGGAAGTCTACAGCAAAGACTGGAGCCCAGAAGGACCCAGCAGTACCAGGATCCAGACGTGGCTGATGGGAGACAGATATCAAACACAGGGAAGAGGTGACGTGCCGGGGACAGAACAGTTCCAAGGACGGATGTCGCATAAGCAGAGAAAAGGGGGCCGTAAGAGAGGGTTGGAGTAAAAACATCACTACTAGCCTGCGGCCATAAGATCCCAAGAGCCTGAGGGCCGAGAAGGTTTTGGACATCAACCTTGATGACACAGGTGACAACATCGTGGTTGGCATTAGGTGGGGTGTAGGGGAGGCAGAGCCCCATAAAGGAGGAACAGCGGGAACGACCAAGGGAAGGCGCCAGGAGAGGCAGGACCAAACATCGTCCTCCCGATCCGAACAGAATTATCATCAAAGATGTGGCAGGCGAGTCCCCTGGGGGAACCGACCCAAAGTCACTCAGCAACCAAACTGTTCATCCCAAAGAGCCACAGTGAGGTTCAAAAAGAATCCACACATGCAATGTCCAGGGGAAAGACACGGAAGGTTACAATGATCTTATCTTCCCTTGGGATATTTCAGGGGATGGTATCTAGCTGTGAGTAAAAGTTCTCCTTCATGATCTCACCAGCACCTAGAGTCAGGGAATATGCACTCACAGTTGTCGCCTATTGGTTTTTGGTGAGTTTCAGATGGAAAGTCATGAGTCACAGTGAACAAATAAGCTGAATATGAGCCAACAGTGTACCCTCATTGCGAAAAAAGCTAATTGCCTACTGGGCTGTATTAGTAGGAACATTGTCAGTAGATAAGGGAAGTAATTCTTTCCCTCTATTCAGCACTGGTGAGGCCACATCTGGAGTTACTGTGTCCAGTTTGGGCCCCCTACTACAGAAAGGATGTGGACAAGTTGGAGGAAGACCAGTGGAGGGCAACAAAAATAATTCGAGGGCTGGTGCACATGACTTCTGAAGAGAGGCTGAGGGAACTGGGCTTTTTAGTCTGCAGAAGAGAAGATGGAGGGGGAAGTTGATACCAGCCTTCAACTACCTGAAGGGAGGTTCCAAAGAGGATGGAGCTAGATTATTCTCAGTGATGGCAGATGACAGAACAAGGAGCAATGGTCTCAAGTTGCTGCAACAGAAGTTTAGATTAGATATTAGGAAAAACTATCTTACTAGGAGGGTAGTTAAGCACTGGAACAGGTTACAAAGAGAGGTTGTGGACTTTTCATCCTTGCAGGTTTTTTAGACCTGGCTAGACAGAGCCTTGGCTGGGATGATCCAGTTGGGGATGGTTTAGTGACAAGGCAGTTGGACTAGTGACCTCCTGAGGTCTCTTCCATTCCAATTTTCTATGATTCTGTAATCACAGGACCACTGAGACCAGCAGTGCTTCAATCATCTGCTAACTGACTTGATCATGGGGTCAGAGGCTCAATGAATTGACATTAACAGGTAAAAATTTAACCAGCAGAGATCACTGAAATAGCTGGTATTAAGCAGCTTGTGATAATGTCCAGAATAACAACAAATAAAATATTATATGTAAGGAAGTCAGCTGTTACTGATGAAAGCCATGCTAACAGGCAGCATATTATAAAAAGAAGTAATATCATCTAGGTTTGACAGTTCATGATGCCTTGCCTTTAAAACAGTTAGGTTGCTGTTATGTTAAGTCTACTACGCTAATCAATGTGGACTCAAGTGCTTTCTTGTATTCCACTATCTATATGCAACTATTATCTTTATCTTATATTTCAGATTTTAAGTTGTATAGGATAAGAACAGTATTTTTGTTCCAAATTTACACAGTACCTAGTCAAAAGGAGCTTAGCCTTGAATAGTAACATCTACAGTACTAATATAATATAATTCAACATTAAACTGCTCTGACAAATATCATTATGCTTTCTTCCACTTTGCCTCGTATCTAGAGGACAGCCTGAACTGAACTGCAAGGATACTCCTCTCTTCCCCAAATACCTTTCCATAACCCATTTCTATAACTGCAAAATTAGCAAGAGTTTAATGGCTAATGCTAAGGCAAGTGGCTCAAGAATAGATTAGGAAATTCTTTTTTAGCATAATTATAAATCTAAAATTACAAATAAAAATATGTACTTTTAAAATATCAAATGTGTGCAGAGAGAGAGAAAGAATGTACACAAGACACACAGAGGCAGAAAGAAAAAAAGGAGTATTACAGAAAATGGTGCAAGTTGCTCATGTATCTTAGTATCCCTCTTCACTGTGGGCACAGATACGATTTCAGCATATGTTGGCACACATGAGCTAGCTTTAACATAACTAAGCTTGATAACGATCACACTGAAGAGGTGATGGCATGGGCTTTGGTGTGGGCTGGTTGCCCAGTAAGGATTCAGTAGGCTTGTACAGCCTGCTCTGAAACCTGTGGCCCTACATCAGTGTTATCATTACCAAAACAGGCTTGATTAATCCTAGCTCATGTGCACTTCAGCACTCTGCAATCTCACCTCCAACTACAATACAGACATAATTTATGATTATGAAGTTATTCAAGTATACTGTATGCCTTTAGTTTTGCACAGCACCTAACACAGAAAGCCCCAGGTGTAACTGGGGCCTCTGAAGGATCTTATTAAAGTGCTTTAAAACACCCCCTTCCCTTCCACCATATCCACTAATCATCCCTTGTTACCACCACAGTCATTAATACAATTTAAGAAACTTGTGACCATTGTAATTTTTAGGGCTGCACCGACATATTTTGGGGGCCAATACCAATAGACTATTTTTAAGGAGGCATATTGGCCAATACCAATCAGATTTCCAATAAAGCTGAGTGCAGCTGGTAAGTCTGTTGTGGTGGAAGGGGAGGAAAGGGACGCAACGGGGCAGATCAATGTTCCCCATGGTGAAGGAGGGAAGTGGGGCTGGGGCTGAGGTAGGCACTGCCCTACCGCGGATCCGCAGCCAGGGCTGCACCAAATCAAACATTTAAAAAAATCAGCCATATCAAGCAGATTCCCGATCCAGTAAATTTTCTTTATATTGAAGATGGTCCAATGTTGGACTGATGTATTGGTGCATCTCTAGTAATTTTAGATTCAGAATGAAATTAAATTGAAATATGGAACTAAGTTAAATCTCTAGAAAAGGGTCAGTACTAACACTGAATTTTTTACAACTGAACAGTAAAATCCTATTTTGAAAGAATTGAACACAACAAACTCACCTGCAAAATCCTTTACATTTACATTTGCTCCTAGACTGATTAACTCTTTAACTTGTTTAACATCCCCTCGAATAGCAGCCATGTGTAAAGGGGTTTCCCCTCGTTCATTTCTCTTATTAACTTTGTCTTTTTGTCTTGATGAGGAACTTGGTGTTTTCTTTTGTGTTGGAGTCGTCTGCAAAGAATGGTTTAGTGTGGCATCTACAAAACAAGTATCAAAACAGTCAGTATAAGTGACTAATAATTTTTACTTTACATTCATTTTCTTATCATACAAGTTTCAGCATTATTAGTTGCATTATTGAACAGACTATGCAGTTTGCATTTCAAATGCATGTACAAACTTGTCACAAACTTGCAAGTGCATTTCATGACACCATCAGACTGAGTGAATTTAATGTCTATTACTGTAGTATTGTATCTTTCTGAAACATGGGTCAGCCACCTACACAGTCTGTGGGCCACATCCAGCCCACAAAGATTTCATCTGGCCTGCTAATCCAAAAGAGCAGTAGGAATTGGCAGCACAAGGAATCAGCAGCAACTTGCAGCAAGGGAAGAGGCATCCACATCTACAGGAGGCCTGAAATGC